CCGCTTGTGAGTTTTCTTTAAAAATTTTTTTGCTCATTTACAAAATAGTAAGCGATTACCAGCTATACAGCTGGAGAAAAAAAAGATAGATCGGGTCTCGAATCATGTATCACTAAAGAATAAGCAACATTCTATAGTGCAAGCAAGGGATCGCTCAGAGCAAATAGTGCTATTGTTAGGGGAGGGGATTGACTGGGTTAGTCAAACAAAATCTTAAGAAACACGGAATGACGTAATTTCTTGTTTGCTCTTCTCTGTTATTGAGATTTCAAATATTACTTGCCTGCGTTCGGTGCCATTATGTCTCCGTTCTATCAAAATTAAGCAATATCAGTTTTGCAATATAACTGAGACGTGCGAAAAGCCGAAGATGGGGTAAGGGAGATTTTTGAAGGAGAAATGCGACAATACGGCAAAGTTTATTCGCTCAACTTTCCATCCGAGCTTTCATAAGCAAATTTATAAAAATAAATCACATGTGTGAAGAAAGATGGGGGGGGGGGAGGGGGAGAGAGATAGGAGAAGTGATATGGTGGCGACAACTTTAAACAGCGGGGTGAGGTTTCCGTTCCCAAGCCAATCAAACCTCTACATTTTGAGATGGACTCTTTAGCTAGCATCTGGGGAAAACGTCGATGAAAGAATTGCTATCCTGAGCTCTTATCCCCCCCCACCTCCCATTCCATAGATGAGGCTCGAAGAGCACAAAAATGTAGAAAAAAAGGCCTCTTGCGATTTTGGATTTGGATGTATAGCTGCCGAGGCCGCCAAGATCGTCGCAATGTCGTTGTGGGACCATGATATCACACGCTTACGGTTGTGTGTCACGCGTCTTGGTGGGCGGGCAAGGAAGCGCCGCCCACCAAGACGCGCGCATCCACAGCTTCCGAAGCAGTTTCCCGGCTTCAGAAGTAAAATGGCACGCTGCCAGGTCAAGAGCTTTATTTCAGTGGGCGCTATTGCTACCTACGTTTTTCTCTTGACCGCCATATCTGCCCATACGGTGCCTCTGATATCTTTTGGAGGTGCGCAGTTTATTCCTTCACACAGCAGAGAATTCACTTCTCTAGGACCACCTTCCACCTTAAAACAGTGTACAAATTCACGGCTTCAATCAATAACTTCTTTTGTATTCAAAAAAATGAAAAAAAAATGAGCAGCACATTACGAAAACATTTGGCGAAAACACATTGCTCTTTTTAATTCGGTATTTATAACAATATTTACTCAGACAATTAAAGGCTCTCAGCCAGCCCCACCAAAAGCGGCTTTTGGTGGGGCCGGTTGGGAGCCTTTGCTTATCTGAGTATCTTTACTTCCTTCTTAGCCAATCTATGGACGATATTCTAGAAGATATTTGATATTTGTAAGAAATCTATTTGAAAAAACTTATTTGTATTTCCTCTTTATAAATGCTTATCATTACGAGAAGTTTAATTGCTTTATCCAAGCATAACTACCTTTGATTCGACTGTATTGGAGGCTGGAAGGCGGAGTTTCGTGACCTAATCAAGGCTAGGGAATAATCAGAGAGCACATTCGCGAGGGAGACGCAGACTGTTTAGCGGGAGCAAGCGGGCGCGAGCGGTCGCCTTCCGGTCGCCAATCTCGTTGATTTAAAGGGAACGCCACGAAATGTCCAAGCTTAGATTTCGAAATTTGAAGTTTTTTTACACTGTGGTTCTCAGTTTGGTCTCAATAATGTTGACTCAAAAGCTTCTACTTTTGTGAGGAATTCCCTTTACCAGTTAGCACAATTGAGGTGCGACTGATAACCTGAAAGGTAATTGAAAAAATGCTACGAAACTGCGAAGAAGGTAAGATATCTAGAGGTGCGACAGTTTGAGGGACCAGGATTTTCTAAGGAAGAAGCTGCGAGGCTGTAAGGGTTTGAAACAATTTTAGAAGGCAACGTTGAATATAGAACCCAGAAGATCAAAGCATATGGTAAGAAGTTGATCTCGTAAACTGCGAAGAAGGTAAGATATCTAGAGGTGCGACAGTTTGAGGGACCAGGATCCCCTGAGTCAATGGTGAAAATTTATCTGCAAAAAGTGTCTTCGCGTACAATGTAAAATGCATTACACTGCATATCCGCAGGGTAAAAAAAATGCCAAAATTCTATATTCTTTCTAATATCTTAAATGGCAGCAGCGGAAACAAAACATCCGTTGTTTTTTTGATTTTGTTGAAGTATGATTTTCAGCCTTCTGTCTCAATCCTTCTCAGCAACCAGAACGGATCAACGGAATCGTAAAGAATTGCGCGTACACACCATGTTCCCCGGGTTACAAATGTTTATTCAATCAAGCCTACGGACAATACTTTTGTTGCGGTCAAAGCGATTCAGGCTACGATTACAACTACGGTAATAGTAATACCTATGCATTACTTTATATATTATTGCTTCTCTATATATAGCGTAGTTCGAATAACCCAAATCTAGGCAAGATCCGAATGTACCCAGGGACACTGCAGCCGTTGCAGTGTTTTGCCAAGGATCAATGCCTATGGGTCGATACACCGAATTGTGTGTATTCGTACAGATATAGACAATATGTGTGTTGCTCGACATTCAATTGTTAAAAGTGTTTTCGAATAAATATATTGAACATTTGAAATTTGAATAGATTATAATAGATAATAATAAAAATTTAAATAGATCGTCAACACAGTTCAGGGACCAGCAGTGGGGTTAAGGGCACCGCCTACACAAGCTGAGGATCCGAGATTTTGACGCATTATAGCTAGCGGGTTCTTTAACGTGTATTGCCCTTTCAAAGCGGAAGTATGGCTACACAATGTAGAAGCTCCTTAGGTGGCTCCGCCCATCAACGCGGGTGGTCTGAAGCTGGGGCTTCAAAGAAAGCTTTAGGGTTAGAGAAATGTCTAAAATCTGGTCATAGTAATAATCAAAGGCGGTGTCCCGGCAAAAATTCGCTCTCCGTTTTTTCGCCTGTACAGAGCCTTCTCGCCATGCTGAAGCCATATCTGAGCTTTAGCGGCAAAAATGCGCCTTTTCGAAGCTCTTCGTGTCATGGTCGCTCCAAATTACGTCTAGGAAATGGGCGGGGTCGGAAGACTTTCGGAGCGGATTTTGGGCTTCCCGGAAAGATTCTTTTCCTGAAGCTGATAGACTATCTGGAGGGTCTACCATTGGAACACTGTAAAATCCCGGTACCCATCTTTTTGAGGGACGCTGCCTTTAGAGGTTTCTGGGGATTCGCGCCCTGGGATATTGCTATGATAGGGTTCCTGATCATTTCACCGACCTCCAGGTGCAGTCTGGCTGGTGGGTGTTCCCCCTGGGCTGAGAAAATAACCACTGAGCCTGCGCGCAACCCCAATCGGTGCGCGCTCGCACGACTTCGCTTACCGTTCGGCGCGGGACCTCACGACCCCTCTCCCGCGTTGTGCATGCTATCCAAAGCAAAAATTACAGTTAGCAGGATCTTCGTGCCAGGGCACAACTTTCCATTGAAATTCTCGTCCGAGCTGCCTTTTGGATATTGGGTAAACGCCCCGAAAAGGTCTTTTCACCCGTTTCAATGCTCAAGTTTGGGGTCTGTGGCGAAAAGGCCCAAAACATTAATACTCTATTTTGGACATTTCTCTTTAGACCATCCACTTTGATGGGCGGAGCGACCTAGACCGCTATTACTTTCTGGAGCGTTTCTCTGCTTTGTAAATCATCTTTTGCAGCGAACCCGGACGATTACTCGGTCAGGGTCCCTCTTTTATACAACGCCATATCACCAGCTTCAACTTGAGTGGAAGGTGGCTCTAACGAAGGTGCTCGCCGATTGTCTACGTTCTCGCGATCATCAGATACTATTCATGCGTCGCAACATATTGCAGCATGTATTGGCTGCCAGCGCTCTTCCACTCCCACAAGGGGTGCGGTGGTTTGAACGTGATTCAAAGATCGTAATACCAGTTTTGGAGACATACAATGGTCTTATCAGTTTATACAGCACAGCACGACCTTGACAATAAAGATTCTATTCGCTAAATTAGCATCGGGAGTAAGTAATATTCTACTGGTCAAAGCTGTAAGACTATAAACTAGGAAGCATCTATCTCAATGAATTAGCAGTGGAAAAGTACGCACAACCTGCTTTGTAATTTTTCGGTTGTGTGCGGGGTGTCCCAAATAATGTATTAAACGTTTGATTTTCAATAACATACTGTTGGAAAGATTTCGCAGATCCTTAGATGCCATGCGGTAGGGCTAGCTTCAACTTAGATTCTTAAAGTAAATCAAGGATAATGCATTACTGTAGGGTGACGGTAGGAACTTTTGGCATATAGCATCATTGTGGAAAAGACACATTGAAAATTTCCATAAAAATTGAAGAATTGTGACAAATTTTCAGGCACGTTCACTTCAGTGCAAAACTTTGCACAGAGATCGTGAAGCGTTTCAGAGTTTTTGTTTGCATTTTTAGAACCATCGAAAAATAGCTGTTGCTGTATACCTGGCGTATATTTTGACGGACCATTATGGCGAAGTGCAAATCTCAAAATTAGAATCAGGAATCTGTTTAGCCCAGCGCAAGAGAGTCTTTGGGATGTTTGGATCCCTTTGAGGAAAAATATAAACCTCATTGCTTGAAACACCCTTCAAAGTTCCTACCGTAATCCTACAGTAACAAGGAGAGATAGTTGATTCGCTCTTGATTTTTTTCTGTAGTTTCACAAAATTTTTTTAGCATTTGTATGCACGACAATAAGGATACTTTATTGAATTTTTATTGTCTGAAAAACGGGACATTTCACTTTTGGTGCTAGACTTGCAGCAACAAAGCCAACTATTTTTGTTACTGTAAACAAGTCAAATACACGATTCAATCAAATATGGATTTGAACAATTTATTACATGTATCAACAAATAACAATGAACATCTTTGGTACATAATTACAGGAGTACATGAATCGCTTTTGTTTATTTGCCCCACCCAAAAAAAATTCTGACCAGATTATACATAATAAAAATTATCTTATCGTTTACCCCATCCATACGGCTGATAGAAACCCGGATATCCACCACCACCCCATCCGCCCCACATCGGTCTGTAGCCACCGCCCCAACCTCCGTAACCGAGACCATGGCGCCAGGCTCTTCGGTAGAATTTTTCGTACGAAGACGAGTCGAAGCGTTTGACTAAAAAAATTTTTTAAGAATAAAGCAAAGTGTAGATCTATATGAAAGACCAGTAGTGAATATCCGGAAGAAAATAATAACATAAAAAATAATTTTTGATTGTTATAATGAATCCATTCCAAGTTGTCAAAAAAACAGCTTTCATTTCCTATTACATTAACCTCTCCTAGGGCCTAGTAAAAGGTTACAGTACCTCTTCGAGATCGGCCCGCAGATCCCAAACCGAATATTGCAGCTATTAAAATTACAGCAAAAAGTAGTCGCATTTCTGCAATAATAAATGTTCGTCAGGCATTACACAACCAAAGCAAGGTCATTAGAACATGTGATACGAAGTTTATATGGATAATGGGAACAATGGAGCGTTTGAAATCATGTTCAGTCCGTTGTTGATTCTCCGATTGCTTTTATAGCAACGCGCAGATGATGTCATCAAAAATCGCTGACAATCAGCCAAAGAACTTGTTTAGGAAGCACGAGGCTACTCGTTCAAGGAGCATGGGTTTTTTCTTCTGCTTTAAAATTGAATCTGAAAACACAGCAAGCAGAAAAAGAAGTAAGCCAATATTCCACATAATACAACTCCAAAAATTGACAATGATTTCAATGAAAACTCGCCTAAAGGGGTTATTCGAACTGCTGATTACGGTAATGATATTCATTTTGCATGGTGGAGCTTTTTTGAGGGGTTACGGTAGGTATACGGTATGAGGTCAAAATCTCAGTTTCTGCTAAAACTTTGCGTAGGAAAATTATTCGACATGCTGGTCACGAATATCATTTTTTCGCACGAAAATATCTCCTTGTATGGTCACGATAGGTGTACGGTAGGGGGTCGAAATCTAGGTTTAGCTGAAATTCGTTTTAGAGGGATTATTTAGCACGCTGAACTTAAATATCATATTGACTTTGTTCGGTAAAACCCCATTTCCTCGAGTTACGGTAGGTATACGGTAGATAGGTGAAAATTCCAAACTTGCAACGTTGCCTATAGCGGTTTTTCAGCATGCTGAGAGCGAGTATCGGGCTTGCTCGCTACAACAACGCTTTATTGTAGAGTTATGGCAACTTGCAGAGTTTAAATAAGCATTTTCCTGCTTTTCAGACCAATTAAAATCCTAAAAATCTACGAGAAGGCTGGCTTTATAAAGGAAATGAGCGCTGTATTCGCGATGAGCATATCAGGTAACACCCCCTGTACAAAGTTCGAGGCAGACTACGGTTTTGACCCCTTACCATATAACCACCGTACATTCCGGGAGAGTTTTTCATGAGGAAAAAGTGCAGTATTTGTATTTCAGCATAACGAATACCTTCCCCCTACGTAAAGTTTTAGCGAATTCTGAGATTATGACCCCATTCTGTATGCCTATCGTAGCTCGTCAAAGAAGGCCCTATCAGCAAAATAAACATCTTTTTTATGATTAGCAGGTCGAATAATCCCCTTAAGCAAATTTTCAGCGAACTCCGTGGGAAGCAGTACCGAAACCCAAAATATAATTTCAGAGTTGGAAAAACCCTAATATCTAATGACGGCTTGGGCTCACTGCTACATTGTTGCTTTTTCCCTAAGAGCAGTTTCAGCTGAATTAAACATGATGTGATTGCGTAACCATAACGGATTAGATTCCAAATGGAATCACTGTTCAAACGCGAAACCACGCCGTAACCCCGAAACGCGAAAAATCCTGCTGGAATGTAACCTCGATCACGCTAAATTTTTGTTATGAGAAAACACAACGAAGTAGGAGCTGCACTAACGTTCGCCTCACCTGATGGTCCCTTATGGCACAAATAGCAAGCTGCTAATGGTTTCATACGGCGCCGAGAAAAGCGCTATTTGCATCTTCGCTATTCACAAACACCGTATTGATAGTGCTATGTTATAAGTCCAGTGATCCTTTCTATAACTGAAACACTCATTAACATGAAAATAGGCTTCTAATTCCCTAGTACTGCCGAATGTCTTACATTCCCATACTGCAAAAGCACATAATAATAAAATTCTATTCAAACTCAATCAGCAAAAGGTCTACTTCACCTATAAAAGGAGGTGAGCAGACGAGGCCACAGACACAGTATGGCAGCACTTAGAAAATGCTTCATCGTCACAGCGGTATGTTGCATTTAGCCTTCTGTTCAGTAGCTTCGGTTTCACTTCGAGCGATTAAACAGTAAAGCTGCATTACCTTCTCCTATGCTATTGATCGAATCACCCATCCATCATATCTCAAAATGGGAATACGGGAGGATGAAAGTGTCAAATAGAAGTATTTCCTTAAATTTGTGTTTTGAGGTGCAGTGACACTTCAAAGTCTACCATCAAGCATAATAGTGGAAGCTCATTAACTTTGCAACTGAACAATTTCGTTTACAAACGAATCAGAAATAATCCTCAATCAAATGTAAATTCGTTGTCTCCATGTTGTATAAAGCACTTTCATAGCGCCGAGATAACAATATTTACGAGCGCAGAACAGCAGTAATGAAAAACTAACAAATGAACGGTAGTATGAGAAGGCACTGAAAGAATAAATCATATTAAAATTTTTCGTTTAGTTATGGTTGTGCTCGATGTTTGCGATTTCTTCACAAACACGTTCGTGCAGTAGCGGAGAGAAGAGATTTGATAAACTCTCTGCCATGTTTGATTTTTGCGTAAACCACTTACACTTTCAGAGTGTGACAATTACCCTAACCACACAATTGATCCCACCGGTAGAGACGTGATTCTAGAGATTCACAATCAAAAAAGGTAAGTTTGCTTTCAAATATCAAAGATAACCGCCACAAAGCATAATATCTGTCAGTTGCGACGCTTCTCGAGAGAAAAAATTATCGCGTATAAAAATTATTTTGTGCTAGCTGGTTTTTTCTTGCAAAAAAGCTTACAAGGAAGCGTGTAGTGAAAGTGGCCTTTTCAGATAAGACCCACACTGGTTTGGGGAGTACTGCGCAGCGATTCCAAATCTGCCCTCATTATCTGCCAACCGCCTTTGAACCCCGAGTTATGGGCGTTTTCGGTTCAAAAAGCAAAATGGCCCAAATTTGCTCAAATGGTCGGGTGTCGAGTATCAGAGCAGTTCATGCAATGGATACATTTTGTCTAATAGGCTAATACTTAACTTTGCTTCATCTGAGCGCTGGAGAGATTGTAGCATTTGTTTTTACCTAAATCTTATTCATTTTTCGCTCCAAAAAACGGTCATAATTCGGTGTCCAAAGGTGAGGATTTTATTCCATAAAGCTGTGGACATTTCCCATTCCCATTATGGTTTAGGTCAAGCTAAATAACCCAAACTTGTCGAAATCAAGCGCTTATAAATTGAGGTCAAAGGTGAAGCTTCCATTAATCCCAATTAATCGTGAATAGAGTTACGATAATGGTGTTTAGTGACTTTCGAGCATTTGGACAATTCAACACTTGATTGAACAAATACTCACTCATGACCCAATCAAAACAAATGCCAACATTGAGCTTTTAGGAAGGCGACAGCTCTAGGTCAATACAGAAACGGTATCAACGATTTCAACATAAGACGCGCGAAGAACATGATGGAAATGGTTTTTCTTTCCGAGCGTTTATTAACAGTATTCCATTTTCATTACAAATTTTTAGATGTACGACTGCAATTTGGAGAAGGATGCACATGATATTGCAGTAAAGTGCAATGACGCAGAAACTCCGCAAACGTCACTTACTACCCAGGGCGAAAATTTCTTGAAAATTGACAAAGTGTACTCAGAAATAGGAACGGCATCAAGCGCTATGTACATAGTAAGTTTGCAGTGATAGACCTATAATTCGGAAATTTTTGAAGAAGAAAGCGTGACATCAGCCACGCTTTAATACTTTTTTCACAAGGCCCATTTAAATTTCTTGATTAAAAATTGTTCTTATTAATTAAGGTATTAGATCGTTGCGAAAGTAGCTTCGCTTTTTTATAAACGAGCTTTTGTTTACGACTGTAACCGAAAGGGAAATTGGACTATCAAATAAAATTTCATTGAAAAGAATTATGGCAAGCTATGAAAAAAGAAAAAAATGTTGTGTTGATTGGTTTAAGGTTTGCTCTATCCATCCGTTACTTGGACTCTTTCGGAAAGGTGACATGAAAATTTCGAAAGACTATGAAACTAGAACATTCTAGAAAGCATGGAGATTTCGTTGATTTTCCAAGAACTCGTTGACAGTGCTGCAATAAGTTTGTAGAAATTAGAAAGAGAATGGAATGCTGCATCGTGTGCTATTGATATTCGGTTCATCAAAGCAGCTCTCCACTGGCAAACACCACGGAAACCGTTCTTCACTCACGGCTTCATTATGTAAGCTAAGCGTATGATGTTATAGGCAGGAACCAAGTGGTTCGAAGAAATTACGAAAAATGGGATCAACCAAAATATAGACTTCACTCAATTTTTCGCTAATAAGAAGCCTACTGTATACCATTGGTCACAAGTACGTGAAGAAAATTTTGCACTAGAACTTCTTCCGCTTTTTACGCTTCTACTAAACGATTTCTTCTTTTCCAGATGGTTTGGGCGAAGACGTATAAAATTGGCTGCGAGATAGCGGACTGTGAAGATTTGATGAATAAGAAGTACACCATCGTAGTGTGTCGTTATAGCCCTAAGTATGGACAGCATTTAGCAAATGCTTATGCAGTTTACATGTAGCAATGTTCCAATTCAGAGGAAATGTCGTGGGAAACAAAGTATACCAACCCGGCAAGATAGCGGATTGCGAATATGGAACATCCGCAGGATATCCTCCTCTTTGTGCCTATCCTCCTTTCTCATAAATTTTCATGCGAATCATGCAAATAAAACTTGTGCATTATGTTCTTGTTCAAGTCTGTCACCTTAGAAGGATTGCGACGGGTCCGTTTTAGATCTGCAGGACATGCTCCGAAGATCTTTTGTGCTTCTGGGGTCACACCTGTCATGTCAGTCGCTGTGCATGCCTTACGCGACATTCGAAATCTTTAACCACAGAATCTTTCTGCTGCTAGAGTTTGTGACGTCAGCGAGAGAAGGAAGGTGAAACAGATAAGTCGAGTTGTCTTGTATCGTAGTAGGTTCATTGCACAAACCAATAGGAAATAGGAAGAAAAACAAAAACAAGTAAGCGTGAAGGGAAAAATAATGTTTAAAAACAGTCGGTTTCGGTTTTAATAGTGTGTAAGAGATAAAATACAAAATACTACAAAAAGGAATTTCTTTCTAGAAGATCATTTTTTCAGAAACCACGTAATAAGCGGTTTGT